TCAGCACTAGATTTTCCAGGCTGCCCCCAAGAAGAATCCCAATCAGGAACTGGAACTTTGCTGTAATTTTTACTAGAGTGACAAAAGCAGCAGCCGAGGGGTCGGACTCAGCTGCCACCCAAGGAGATAAGCCCAGACAGGAAATGCCAGGGGCATTGGACCTCACCAGGCGTGGAGACAGTAAGCGAGTTGCTTTGAGAGGATGTCGGAGAAGCTCCGGGGCTGAGGTTTGAGGAAACAGCTGTGGAGACAGACACAAACTGGCCAGCATTCATGAAGGTTTATGACTTCAGCCTAACAAAGATATCCTTTCAGGTATTGCTGACCCCTGGGAACTGGGACTGCTTCGTCAGGTCAGGGGCTGATTCTGGACTGCCATATAAGGCTCCTACCGCAGGAGGACTCCCTCCATGCAGGGTGGTCCAGGAGCCTGTGCACATGGGTATCACACAGGGATTTCTCTCTATGTAGGATTCAGGGAGGGGGAACCCATGTTAAATTCATGGGTATCATAAAGGCTGACATTTCTTGGTGAAACAGAAAGACACAATAGGCCCCAAAAAGGAAAAGCAGAGTTTTCTGAGCTAGAGTTGCATCAGTATTTTAAGAGCTTCTGAAATAGCTCTTTCAGCTATTTCAGCTAAGATGCCCTGTCTTTACAAGATCCCCTCCACAAGTATCAGTCCCCTTGGTGCCTACAGGCCTACAGGCCTGGGGGCAGGCAAGTCAAAGGCCACCCCTTGGAAGCAGGGCTCCCGCTACAACTGGGTCCTGGCCCTCCCTATCCCCTACCCCACCTTGGAGGGGCTCAGGGCAGCCACCTGTACATCCTACCTGACGGGGAGTCTCCGGGGCCGCTCCTGGACTTCCTCCCACGGCGGGTCAGGAATCGTTCACTCACCGACTTGGCTTCTTCCAGCAGCGCCAGGTTTTTCTTCTTGTCCTCTTCTGAGATGCTGATATCCGGCAGCTGGTCATTGACCAGGTCAATAACGTGCCCTGCAGGGTCTGCAGTGGGAGGGTGAACTCAAGGTGAGAACCACAGAATTCTTGGCCCCCCACACCTTAGCCCAGGGAAGCTGCCCAGAGTGGACTCAGCCAGCCAAACTTCAGCCCAATGCCAGGCCAGGGAGACAGACAAACCTCAGCAGGTTTGTAGCCTGTGGCTGTGGCAGGTCCTCTGTAACAATCATGAAGCCACCTAGGTTCCCAGTACTGTCCTAAACTCTGCCATTAGGGAAGGCCATCAGGAGCTCCACCTCCATGCTATCTTTCCCTAGTGTGTTCTTCTTTCAGGTCTCTATGTGTTCAACAAGCTAGGGAGCTTAAGATGTGTGGATAAAGAGCACTCCAAAGATCATGGCCACCTTCCCTCCCTTCTTTCCTCTACTCACACTATCTACCTCCACTCTTCTCCAAAACTGCCTCTTCTCCAGCAGCACTTCTATGGGTAAATGACACCACTTTCCCCAGCTGCTCAGAAACGTGGGAGTCACTCCACACTCCTTCCTTGGTCTCTTCACATCCCACCAACTGGTTATCAAGTCCTGATCATAATTTACCTCAGAAATATCTCTGGAACTTGTGCCTCCTCTCCATTCTTGTTCCTTAGATCTTACCTGCACAGTTACAACAGCTGCTTCATAGGCCTCTACCTTCACGCTATCCGCTTCCTCCCATCTTCCACTGCCTATCAGAGTCAACTTCCTAAGAGCCATATCTGACCTTGCACTTCTCCTGCCTCACATCATCAGGATTCCACATGAAAGGAAGTTTGAGAGATGGGATGAGCCAATTGCTAATGACCCAACTTGAGCACCTGGATTCAGCACTCCTTGAAACCAAAAGCTCTGGCTTTTATTTTCATGTATGTTTGTTTTTTTGGGTAAGATAGTTTGAGTTATGTTCCATCATTTGAAAGAGTCCTGACTAATACACACAGCAGAGCATTCAGTTGCTCTGTTATGGTTCCTGCTCCCCCACCATGTTGTTTCTTCCACCCAGAATGCTTTTTCTTCCTTTTGTCTATCTGTCCAACTCCCTAAGGCACAACTCAAATACTCTCTCTTCTGGAATATCTATCCAGCCTTCCCCCTCCCCAGATAGAATTGGTCTCCTTCTTGCCTCAGTTTCCCTAACACTTCTTTAAAGGGCCTTATAATACGGTGTCTTGATTATATCTGTTCATTTCTCAGTCTCTTCATAGACTATGAGCAACATGGAGGCAGAGACCAAGTCTATATCATATCTGTATTCCAATGGTCCAGAACAGACCCTGAGAAATCATTTGGATAATGAGCTAGTGATTGGGGCAGAGATGCTTGCATTCAAACACATACCTACCTGGATGTGGGCCTTTCTAGCAGGAGGTAGAGGGCTCTGCCCCCTGTGCCCCAGAATTGAGCCTCACCCTGCTGTTCTGTCTCTTTGACTTCTTCATCTTTCTCTTCACCCTCTGGCCTTGTCTTTTTACCAAAATAAATTAAAATTAGATATCATACTTCTTCTGGGCTCAAACACAGAGGGACAGATTGACTTTGCCTTCTTGGGCTCGTAGATATAGACCTGCCTGAGAATTAGGAGAGGGGAAGGGGCTGAGCTGCCAGATCTTCTTGCTCAAACATACTTTCAGCTGGACCCCTATCTCTGGTTGCAGAAATAAGATAATTGGACTAGCCCTTACCCACAGAAGTCAGCGAAGCAGTAGAAACCTTCAAGTGTCGGTGAGAAAGCCTCCTGTGAGGACTGTGAGCTCTGAAAGACAGTACAGAGTCATCTTGTTAAGAAAATTTGTCCACAGCTTGTAAATAGGCAGATACCTGTATATTCTTTCAAAGTCATCCTAGAGCATCGTCTTACGAGCTTGTCTAAGCTTTAGAACTTGTTAGAAATGCAAATTCTCAGGTTCCACCCCAGACTAAATGGATCAGAAACTCTGGGAGGTGGGGCCCAGCCATCTGTAATTGAACATGTCCCCCTAGGTGATTCTGACGCTTGCTAAAGTTTTTGAAAAACTGCCCTAAGGAAATGTAACTTTGGCTATTTATTTTTATTAGGGCCCAGACTCTGAGTGAACATCTAACTGTAGAAAACTCATAAAATATGAATAATTGTCTGGTAGAGATGTAGATGATTTCTCTTGGGGAAGAAAGATAAAAAACAAGGTTTCATTGTCCTCTGGAACATTAACCTATTTTATATCAAACTTAGTAATCTTATTCCAGTATTCTTTTCCTCCCCACTGATTATATATATATTTCCATTTCTTGTATCCTCTTTTGAACTGACTTTGTCATCGGGATGGTTTCCTCATCAATGAGTTAAATAAAACTTTGACACATGCTCACTATATTTTTGTATGAGAATGATCTTTGCAGCTTTTTGAAAATTATACTTAGTCTTACTCAAGCAAGACCAATGCATATGCTTGTGCTGTGTCAAACTGAGGCAGTGACATCCCTGAGTACGTGAGCCAGTGTCCTTCCCAAGGGGTCATCTTCCCCACAGGACCCACTTTGACCAGAGGCAGCATTCTCCAGTCAAAGACTCTTATCTCTCAGGTCTGTTTGCAAATATCTGGGCAGTTATTATCGGAAACTACCCTGCTATGATTTGTGCTTAAAGACTAGCAAAGTACAAAGAACCAAATCCAGGAAAAGAAAAATAATTTGGGGGGGAAAGATAATGGACAAGTCCCAAGCTTTTGCTCTCATTTGGAAAAACTGCTTGATTCTATTTCATCAATAAAATGATCAAGAAAGAAGATTTATAAAAAGTATATATAGCTATCTAATCCTCATGTGCTAGGAAATATTGTTCTTCACAGCACAAAGATTAGGCAAAGACGTACCTGTTGACCAGGTTTTTGTCAGTTTCTCCTTCCGGTGAACTGGCATCCCCAGTCAGGACGATGGTAGGTGGACTGCAGGATATTCCTGCGGTGTAAGGGCCCTGGTAGTTCAGAATAAAACACAGATGGAGTTAGGCTTAGGATGGTGGAAGCTTCCAGGAGCTGGAGCATTTACTCCAGTATTATGACACTCAAAACCATCTTGATAAGGGCTGAATACAGTTTGTTTGGATTATTCAGGGGAAAAAAGGAAAGAAAGAATGAAAAAAGGCAGTTTGTCCTTCATTCCCCAGCAGACATTCACTGAACTTAACATGGCCTACTTTTCATAAGCTAAGATTCTGGAAACTCTAAGCCATCCCTGGTTAGTCCTCACTAACAATCTTGAAAAAGAATGGTACAGAGGCCTCAGGCTGCAGCCAGCCAGGTTGGGGAAGGAGGAAGACCAGGAGAACAGGTGGTGGCACCCACACATTGGGTGGGTATACAGTGAGATCCCACATTGGGTAATTGTGACATTTCGATAAAGGTGATATGTTCAACGGGTCATGGAATATGCAGTTTAATTGTGTAACCTTGAAAAATGTTTATCTGAATAAATACACATTTCTGAAATTAGAACAAAAGTTATTAGCCAGTCCTTAGATTTTTGAGGTATTTCAAAACCACTAAACAAACAAAACTACTAATAACAAACATGAGTCATTTCATTCTAGGTTAGTAAGGTTGTAGTTAAATCGGTGTACTATTACACTGTGATGGCCATGTGAATGGTAAAACCATATCTGGTCTGTAATAAATATTGATTGAGTGAGTGAGTGAAAGAATAAAATGAAAGCAATATAGGATATACAATAAGGTCCATAAAGATGCACATCAGCCTGCATTTCCCCACACCTCAGTGTACTGGGGATAAAAATAGGACTAGGTAACAGTAATACACAGTCTCTCCAGTTCTTTGCCACCTACTGTTGTAGTATGTCCATCTAAGAATTGTTCCCACGTATGTCTGGGAATCTCTCTAGGGGTTTTCTCATATGTCCCCTCATCATTTTCCTTCTCTTCTTCCCTGCCCATCCTTACTGGTGTGTGTTGTCAGGGCTTTCTGTGAACACCCTACTGTCCCTGCCAGGGCCTGTCTCCCAGCACTCTCAAGCATGTCACACCAGCTCCCCCTGTTGGAGTGCCTTCCTGGAGCTTCAGAGCAGTAGGTCCCCATTGCCACTTTCCCTGGGGGCTGTGTCTTTCTGGAGCCTCTGGGCAATAAGTGTTCTCACTTCTACTGGCCCTGCTGAAGCCATTGCCTGGGGGCTGCCCTTGCAGATCTAGGGCTGAGCTGTGTTCTTGAGCACTTTGTGTGCAGGTATTGACTCCTTGCAAGGTGGGGAAGAGGATCTCTCTCCTTTTCACATTATTACTTGTTAAGTGGGTTCCATACAGTGCTATCTAGGCTTCTTAAATCCCACAATTTTTAGTGAAACCAACTCTTCCTGTTTTCATTTGTATCTCCTCCCTCCCTTGGCCTCAATCATAAGGCCGGGTAAGCTGGAGAAGTGTCTCTGAGTCCCACCAGGGAATGCCAGATCCCTGTGTTCCAGGACCTCTTCAACTGGAGGGAGGTGCAGGGATTGGAGGAGGAGGAAGCACTCAGAATCCCTGGACACATGGTAAGAAAGTTGGGACAGGGACTTTGGCTGGATAGGAAGCAGTAGGAAGCAGCATTGCCTCTTGTAAGAATCATACAGACCTATGCTCAGATTTCTGCTCATTATCCACTAGCTATGTGTCCTTGAGCAAGTTATTGAACCTCTCTGTGCCCCATGATCATAAAAATCCAACTCACAAGGTTGATGTGAAGATTAAAAATAATATCGAGAAAGCACCTAGCACATGACTGGTGTTTTCAATAAATAGTTATATTACTGTCAGATTACTTTTCTCTCTCATTCAACAAAGACACTTTAGTTATCCATCATGTGTCAGGAGCAGCTTAAAAAACAAAGACCCTCAAGACCTCACAGATCCCTTGCTTAAGGGATATAGAGAAGTAATGAATAGTTACAATAAATTTAAGCTGGTAAGAAATGGACCACATTCTGTGAAAGCTCAAAGGAAAGGAAAAAAAAAACTCCTCAGGGGAGTTGGAGAAGACATTTCAGCTGGGTCTTGAGGGATGAATGGGAGCTTGTAAGACAAAGATATTAGGGGAGAGGTTTTGGGCAAAGGGAACAGCATTAGCAAAAGGCGTAACTGGGCATTAGGGATTTATCAGTGTAATTGGAGCATGGACTCTGGAGTATGTAAGATAGGGAAGTTCAGGGATGGGGGCTGCAGTATTGTGGTTTATAAGAAAACATATATATTTGGTCATTCAGATGACCAAAATATATTTTTCATAGACATTTGGTCTTCATCCACAGTTCCTGGCTCACAGCTCACAAGACCCTTGGAATTTCCTGAGCGATAAGAGCAATGGGAAAATCTTTTGTTATAATATTTGGTCTCTTGTCCCTAGTTCCTAAACTCCCTTCAGAGCCATAAAGGTGAAATGGGTGGCTTGTTATCTATAACAAACCCTTTCCACCACAACTAGGTTTATGCTAATGAAGGTGACTTTTGCAAAGCACCTAAGTATGGAAGCTGGTTGCCAGGGGAAACAGCCATGAATAGAGGGTTGGAACTTTCAGTCCCACCCCCTGAGGTTGACTCAATCACCAATGACCAATGAGTTAATTAATCATGCCTACATAATGACACCTCTATAAAAACCCAAAAGGAGGGGGTTCAGAGAGCTTCCATGTTGGGGAACCAACACACTTCCACATGCCACTGTGCCACATCCCAAGCTCCCCAAGGACAGAAGCTCCTTTATTCAGGACCTCACCCTATGTATCTCTTCATCTGACTGTTGATTTGTATCCTTTAAAATCCTTTGTAATAAATCATTAATCTAGTGAATAAATGGGTTTTCCTGAGTTCTGTGAGTCACTCTAGGAAATTATCACACCTGAGGAGGAGATCATGGGACCCTCTGATTTCTAGCCAGTCCATCAGAAGCACAGGTGACAACCTGGACTTGTGATTGGTGTCTGAAGTGGGAGCAGTAGGACAGAATCCTTCACCTGTGGATCTGATTCTATCTCCAGGTAGATAGTGTCAGAATTGAGTTGAGTTCTTGGACACCCTCCTTGTGTCAAATAATTGCTTGTTGGTAGGGGAATCCTACAACACATGCAAACACACACATGTTGGACTTGGGTCCAGGAAGCTAATTTAGAGGCAAATAATGGAAGTAGCATAAACGGTTGAGCCAGCTTCTGACGGACATTGGGTGTTACCCCAGTGAGTTTGATCTTTGTGATTTTGGAGATGGGGAACACTGAAGGTCAGGTTTGGGAATAATTTGACCACCCAAAGAGAGAACATAGAAATTTTGACAGGAGATCCATTCGTGGATCATCATAGTGCACCTTGGTTGAAATGATGGAAAATGTCCAGTTATTACAGCATCCATCATCTTCCTAGGAATTTTGAGAAGCTTCCAATAAATTGGAGCTGTGTTACTCTCCATTTGGACACCCACAGCTGGCCAAGGTAGAGTGACAGGGAGTCAGCATGATGCTTATGGCTGGAACCAGGACTGGCCAATCTATCCTCATAATTACCGAGCTCCAGTCCCTCTAAGAACACAGATATCCATCTTTCTGTCAAGGACTCCTCTTGTAAGAGATGCTCAGGAAGTTTCCCAAAAAAGCAACAGCTCCTTTGATGGATAGTATAAACTTGATGGACTAGTGATGGTCACTCTTTATGGTCACTTGCTTTGTCCTTTTGTTACCCTGTCTCTTAGTCTCATAACTATAAAATTGTCAAAGGCCTGCTTTGTCTCAGAAGTTTGTGTGAAAAAAATGAAATGATGAATGTGTATGCACTTTGATAAGTCTCATATGATCTACAAATACCCATTAATCACAATTATCATTAAAATGAACAATGGCTCTACTCAGTTCTCCCCACCTTTTGTCCCCTCGTAGGAGGCCAGCAAGCAGCAGAGAGGCTGGGGCCTTCCAAGGGGCCAGGAGGGAAGCAGGAGGATCTTGGGTCATGATGTGGGGCTTGATGACACACAGTGGAACAGTATCCAGAAGAGCTGCTGAGGTCAAAAGGGGAATCAGGGTGTCAAAATGGCAGGTCATGGGCTGAAGCTGGGGCAGGCAGGGCCAGGGGCAGGTGCCTCTTTACTCGGAAAACTGGTAAAGAGGGAGGAATGGGGAGGTTTTCTATTGTGTGGATTCTCCAGTGAGCAGAAAGAAGGGCTGAAGTTTTTCCAGAGGCTTCTCTTCATGTCACTACAAGCGTTTCTTGTTATGTGGTTTCTTGGCTCTCAGTTAGGGAATTAGCCTATTCCCTGAGCTACAAATTCTCTGAGGTACAAATCAGAGAGCTGGAGGACCATTCCCTGTGAGTAGTGTTTATAAGGTTTTATATTAGTTGCCAACATTTTATAATTGGAAGAATTCCCATAAAGTTCTGGATTTCCTGACCAAGCAATCTTGGGTCTACATTTCTGCAAAGTGAACCTTGGTCTGCTTCTTTTGGCCTGCTTCAATCAATTGCACTCCCTGCCTGGCCCTGAAGCATCCAAGTTACTGCCCCTGCGCTACATGATTCTTAACCTGTCGTGGTTTTCTGGAGCACAAGAGGTTTATGCTTAAAGCCTCTTCCACTTGTGACACCTTTTTTTAAAACTACTTTATTAAGGTATGATTGACATATGAAAAGCTATACATATTTCATGTATACAACTTGATGAGTTTAGAGCTAAGTATACACTTGTGAAACCCTCATCATAATTTATGCCATAAACCTATCCATCACTTCCCAAAGTTTCTTCCTACCTTCTTATTTATTTACTACTATTATTATTGTTGCTGTTGTTGTGATAAGAACACTTATAAGAACACTTAACGAACTTTTAGGTGTACAATACGGTATTGTTAACTCTAGGCACTAAGCTGTACAATAGATCTCTAGGACTTATTCATCTTGCATAACTCCCACATCATCTTGATGAGGTTTCTTTCCATACAGCCTCATTGGT